TGGCAAGAGCTTCACCCAGAAGTCCCACCTCACTCTGCACCACCATACCCACACAGATGAGAAGTCCTTTGCCTGTGACAACTGCAGCATGAGCTTCTCTGACAAGTCCAGCTTTAGTCAGCACCGCTGTACCCGCACTGGGAAGAGACCATATGTCTGTGACATGTGCAGCAAGAGCTTCAGTCAGAGCTCCTACCTCACCCAGCACCGCCGTACACACACTGGGGAGAGACCCTATATCTGTGAGAAGTGCGGCAAGAGCTTCAGTCGCAGCCTCACCGAGCATCGCCGAACCCGCACTGGGGAGAGACCCTTTGCCTGTGACAAGTGCAGCAAGAGGTTCAGTCAGAGCTCCCACCTCACCCAGCACCGCCGCACCCACACTGGAGAGAGACCCTATGTCTGTGACAAGTGCAACAAGCGTTTCAGTCAGAGCTCTCACCTCAACAAGCACCGCCGCACCCACACTGGAGAGAGACCCTATGTCTGTGACATCTGCAGCAAGGCTTTCTGTCACAGCTTCAGCCTCACTGAGCATCGCCGCACCCACACTGGGGAGAAGCCCTTTCCTTGCAATGACTGTGGGAAGAGATTCATCACGAAATCCCACCTCACCCTGCACCAATACAGCCACACTGGAGTGAAGCCCTTTTCTTGTGACATCTGCAGCAAAAGCTTCACCGGCAAGTCCATCCTTAGCCAGCACCGCCGCACCCACACAGGGGAGAGACCCTATGTCTGTGACACGTGCGGCAAGAGCTTCAGTCAGAGCTCTGCACTCACCCTGCATCGCCGCACCCACACTGGGGAGAAGCCCTTTTCTTGTGACACCTGCGGCAAGAGTTTCACCGTCCAGTCCAGCCTTAGCCAGCACCGCCGCTCCCACACAGGGGAGAGACCCTATGTCTGTGACACGTGCGGCAAGAGCTTCAGTCAGAGCTCTGCACTCACCCGTCACCTCCGCACCCACACTGGGGAGAAGCCCTTTTCTTGTGACACCTGCGGCAAGAGTTTCACCGTCCAGTCCAGCCTTAGCCAGCACCGCCGCTCCCACACAGGGGAGAGACCCTATGTCTGTGACACGTGCGGCAAGAGCTTCGGTCAGAGCTCTGCACTCACCAAGCCCCGCCGCACCCACACTGGGGAGACACACGCACACCATGACGTTGGTGACTGCGGTGAGAGCTTCACCAGGAAGTCCAGTCTCACCTGGCACATGCAGACCCACACTGATGGGAAGCCCTTTGCCTGTGACACCTGCAGCAAGACCTTCAGCCACAGCTCCCACCACACTCAGCACATGTGCACCCACACCAGGGAGCAGCCTGTGCTGGGGGACACAAATGCACCGACCTCAGCGCTCTCTGGTGAATGGGACACCCCTGAGAGTCTGACTGAACAGAAATTGCCTCTTTTCCACCCAGATTCCTCAGAGGCTGGGGGCTCCGGCAGCAGCAAATGCCTTCCTCCCCCACCCCAAACACCTCTTAGTGAGATTGAGAAGAATTCTAGTGATTAGGTGGCACAGCTTGTGACCCCACCAAAGCTGAGCTGAGCTTTGCCAGGCTAGAGCTCATTTTTCCCCAACCATTTAGATTTCCCCTGGATAAAAATCTCCTGTCCTTTGCCTAGTTGTAATGAAAAATGATAAATCTAATAAAATAATGACTTTTTATTATTGTTTTGCCATTTTT